GGATGGAGAAGATCAGTTGGACCGATTATGTGAGAAATGAAGAAGTGTTAATTAGAGTCAGTGAGCAGAGGAATATCCTACATGAAATAAGAAAACGGAAGGCTAATTGGATTGGTCATGTTTTACGCAGAAACTGCCTTCTAAAAGAAGCTATCGAAGGAAAGATAGAGGGGCGGATAGAAGTGACAAGAAGACGAGGAAGAAGACGTAAGAAGATGCTGGATGACCTTGGGGACAGAAGAGGATACTGTCATTTGAAGGAGAAAGCTCTAGATCGCATTAATTGGAGGAATTGTTTTGAAAGAGACTGTGGACCTGTCGTCTTGACAGATTACTGATGATGATGATACCTATATTAAGAGAATTAAATATATTACAAATTTACACACTTATGACCAATTATATTGATAACATTAATTCATGGAATAAAAAAAAATTATGATATAAAAACCTCCTCAAAGCAGATTTAAAACTTCTCACACCACTAGCCAACATTTGTATTGTTTGAGGATGATTAAAAACTTTAATACCTGATATGTATGCACCTTTATTGTATTTTGTTAGGTTAACTGCAGGTAAATATAAACTATTGAGGGCTCTAGTTGTTACAAGGCAGAAGACTGTGTTTGCACAGTCACTGCTGCAAGAACCTCAACTCAAATAAAAAGCAATTTAAACTGCCATGTTTATCACATAATAAAAACTACCCCCTTTCTCCGCAAAGCACCTCTATCCGCGGGAGTGAACAGGTTGGTGCAGTGGTAACACTACAGACATACAGTGGAGTTCAAATCTCAAACAGAACACCAGCTATTCAAGTTAAGACATTTCATAGTTTTGTTCAGTCCCTACAGGCAAATGCTAGGAAAAGTAACTCAGTCAGGATTTGACCATTTCCTTCCAAATCTTATCCTATTCATCAGTCGCCAATCATTCTACCATGTTATACTAAGAAGTCTAGATACTGATAGCATCATAAAATAAAACACAAAAGGAAATTCTTCCATTGAGTGTACATAATCCCCAAAAGCAAGAATATACAAGCAAAGTACTCAACACAATGAGATGAAGTGTACACTCCACAGCTGCTTCATATTTTCTCAGCAGTAATCAACAGTTTTAGGCTTAGTTAGCTCAGGGTGGTTGAAAATAAGCACTTGAGAGAGCCAAGGCGAATGTTCTCTCACCAATCAATTACAGTGCAATGGTGGATAAAACTAGTACTAAAGTTACAGTGGAGAACAAACACCAGATACAGAACATTAATATTTGCTGATGATATGCTGATTTGGGGGAGACACTAAAAGGACACTGAAGGAAAACTCTATGGGGAATTATTGTAATGGCACATGGATTCAAAATGTATGTGGACAAGATGGAGACCAGGTACATCTCAGGAAACACAGACACAGTTTCAAGGATAAGGTTAATGACAAGGGAACTGGCGGACAATTTTATTTATTTACTTATTTTGTAAGTGCAAAATGTTCAGAAGGAAAAAAATCAGTTGAGAGATGAATAGAAGTACCAATGCATAAAAGAGTTTTAAACTTTGCTTCAACATTCAGCTGCTGCTCCAAAGTGAACACAGGGTGATCCATCCACAAATTAATATCTTAACTTCAAGAATTCATACCTCAGGTCATTCCCAGTCAGTAATGTCATACAAACGTAGATTTGAGTCCCATGATTGTTCGAAATTCAAGATTGGTTGAGTTGTAAGTCACAGTAACAATAACTACAACCCACATAACTCACATTTATGGTCAGAAATGAGTCCTCACACTACTGTGAAAAGCAATTTTCAATGGTGATTCAATGTGAATGTTTATATGGCATTTATGAGTGGAATAACCATATGTATGAGCTCCTAAGCTGGACACGGTAGCCCAGTGGTCTAAGGCATGTACTGTTTTTGCTTGCTTGGAAACCGGGATCATGGGTTCGAATCCCACTCAGGGCATGGATGTTTAGTTTGTGTGTGTGCGCGCGTTTTTCTGTGTTTGTGTACAGGAAGAGGCCTTGATCACCCGCCCAAGGAGTCCTACCGAACGTGTAAGATCTAGAAAAACCTAAGTGAACAGAGAAGTTCATGGAGGTAGGTCTAGGCCCACTGGGGCTGTAGTGCCACAGGAAAGGAAAAATGGGCTCCTAAAGTGAAGATATTAAGTCATGAACCACCCTGTATTTGTGTTTTCTATGATTCTTAAAATACCGAAGGAATATTACCCCACACAGCATTAACTGTTCGGTTTTTGTAATAGAGATGAAGTGTTTTCTGAAAGGTAGGAACATAGTCTTTAAATTATTTAGGTGAGCTCCATGCTTGAACACTCTACTCACTGGACACTGGCCCAGTGGATCACACTGGAGAGCAAGAGACCCAATCTGGTCACATTCGCACGGTTTGCACCCAGCGAGAGAGAATCCATACTGGTACGCCTGGCACACGTCACATCTCTGACCGGTCACACCAGGCCGACACTGGCATTGCCCACTGTAGAGGTCACAAGTGTGATTCAATGACCCCACTGGGTCACAGTTACATGGCTGACACCCCTGAAATGAAAGAAGAAAAATCATATATGACAGCTCAAGTTCTTACAGATGTGAAGATTCGTAATATGGCACAGTCTTGCAGACGGTCACCAGTGTTTACAAGGAACATGCCGTCCCCATCTTCAGGGCAATTTGAACCCTCCTGTGAGGGGGACAAAACCCTTCCAGGGGTAGAATAGTGCCTTAACCAACTACGCTGCCACGTACCCCCTTTTGAAATATTGGCAGAAAAACATTGTAAAATAAATTAAAGAATTTTTAAAATTTTCTTCCACTTTGTTAAATTACATAATTTATCTTACTTCGTTTACAATACAACTAATTCTGAATTTGAAAGTACACCTATGAAGATTACTGTCTTCTGGGATGTGGCACTATGCAGTCTTGTGGCAGTATACTGACAAGTGAGTAGGGAAGCAATCACTCTCCTACCTTGAACAATGAAGCAGCATGTTCTTCCAAAACACTGGTAAACTTCTACCAGACTACACAGCATCACAGCGCATAAGACAGTAATGTTCAGAGTCACCACTGTGATGATCTTAAATCTTGCAAATTACACTTACTTCTCCACTGACGATATTATAGAAACCATCTTCACACCGGTCACAGTTCTTCCCGACAACATGTATTTTGCAGTGGCACTGACCAGTCAGCTGGTCACAGACCGGAGGGCCAAAGCCTGTCTCCTGTGTTCCATAATGATTACATTGACACTGCTTGCAGTCTCCTTTGGGTATTGCTAACGCATCTCCATAGAAACCTACACACAAACACAAAAAGGTTTCAAACTCATCCTCATGTTTTCACAGCTGTGTACCCCACATGTGACTTTGGCTTTGGGGTTTAGCCATGATGTGTTTTGAAGTTCATCCAACATTTCTGCATTCCCCAGAGAAAGAGCCCCCATACCCACTAGATAGCAGGCTGGGTGGGCCCCCAGACACAGTCTGGAAAACGTGGAGAGGGGAAAGAGCTTGACCCTGTCAGGACTTGAAGTTCAAACCCTCGGCCAGTCTGCACATAGCCAGTTGATATACCAACTGCATTATCCCAGCTCCCCATACAAGTTTGTGTGATACAGTACCTGGCATGCACTGGTCACACTCTCGTCCTGCAGTGTTGTATATGCACTTCAAGCACTCGCCAGTGGTTCTGTTGCAGTTTCCAACAGCGTTAGGATCAACGTTCTGATTACAGTCACAGGGCTGGCACACCCTTACCGGTCCAAACCTCCCTGTTGGGTCACCATAGTAACCATCGCTGCAAAGGTCACACCGTGGTCCTGAAACAGAAGAGGGACAGCCTTTAAAACTAAGCAATGTACATTAAAAGTGCTTTCCAGACCGGCAAATCTAATTCTTTGCACACCACAAACTGATTATATCAACTCTTGGGACTCAGATTAAATATGTCACAACCAAAGAGATGAGCTTTTTGTTAATCAGTTAGTACAGCATTTCTGCTGACAGATGGCATTAAATGTGTCATACGAATATATAGGGGAATGAAGGGGCTTTCAAGTGATTTAGCCTAAGGTCATCGGAAGGTCATCTTAGGAAGTACTGTTTTTTTTCCTGATCTATTAAATTAAAAACGCCATGCCACTACCATGCTAACAGATGATAATCATCGAGGAAAATGTTTTTAAAAAAATATATGTCTATCCGAGTAAGCTGAAAGTAATTACACTTCAGGTTTAGCAGCAATATGGAAATTCATCTGAATACAGTGGCCTCAGAATTGTCCACAGTCTCGGAAGGAAGTAACAGTGAGAATAATTAAAAGTAACTACCAACTAACTAACTGCAGAGAGCTGAGCTCTTCTTGAGAAGCTGCACAGCTGACAGCTTCTCAAGAACTTCCGAACATTTCATGGAACCCGAGGGTTCTTTACCATGTTCACAAGAGCCTTCCACTGGTTCCTATCCTGAGCCAGATCAAGCCAGTGTGAGAGGGGATAATTAAAAGCAACAAAAAATCTGGAAATATCCCCTCTGCATTCAGTCCTGAAAATCACTTAGTGATTACTTAGTTGTCCTGCTACTGGACACCAGACACCAAGAGGAATGTATCTGCAATAGAAGCAAGCAACACTTCAGTGGCAGTAGGACAATCTGAAGAACAAGAGCACACTAAAACTGCAAGTTGTAACAGGGTGACATTCGCAATGTACTGCAAACTGTGCAGCCCTGCTGACATTCGCAACTGAGCCAGATGTAACATACAATATCTCAAACATCATGTCTAGCCAAAATCAATACTAAACGAACACAAGGTTAATCTGCAAAGTGGATAATTGAGATTCTACTGCTTAAAGACATGGTATAGGAAGTAACTTAGTTCCATAGCTGTCAGGCTGGTTATGCCTCACCTCCGTATCCTCTAGGGCACTCCAGACAGACAACTGTCTCATCCACCAGCTGCGTGCAGGCTCCTTGGTTCGGGCATGGGCAGTGTTTGCAGTCGTACGGGGTGCCTTGTAATGAGTTACCGTAGTATCCACGAGCACAACGGTCACAGTTGTCACCCGCAGTATTGTGCCGGCATATGCAGCGACCTGAACAGACAAACTGATATTTAGAGCCATCATAAATGGGCTTCACAGATCTGCTACTGTTTACATTCCGCTGGCAGCAAGGAAACCTCATGAGGTCTGACACTTCCACGACAGTGAGGACGTAGGTTGTGACTTCTGAGATGTGACACTATGTATTGCGGTGAGTGTGTACCAGAATTTCAGAGGAACATATTGCCTCCACTTTCACGGAAGAAACGACTTCTGATGTTGGTAACCACGTCCCAGACCACACAGTGTCATAACCCACAACATCAGAATCTGAGGGTAAATCTTAGTTTCACCTGGTTATTGGAGACGACTACACATGTGCATGTGGAAATGTGTAGGCCACCAACCAAAGGATGGCCACTGGCCTCTAGCTATCAACTTGTAGGTTCTGAGACAGACACGACAGACAGAGAGAGAGAGGCATTCAAAGCAAACTGTCATACTGTATTAAAACCCCACATTCAAACCATCAAGTGGCACCTCCAGCAATGCTCCTACATATTAGTCTTTTGTATGCTGTGTACAGGGATATGATTGACAACAGATATGGCACTTAAGAGAAGCACTGAGTGGGTGAAAGAAGGGATATTGTTAGAAATAAAAGTTTTTGAGAACAAGTTCAAACTCAAAATTTTGTCATGTGTATGAGTGATTATAGATGGAGTTTGAATTCTAACTCCCAATAGAGGATGTAAGATAAACCCCTCAGTAAAGGCAGATGCTCTGTGAATCACCGACTTCCACCTTACTTTGAGGACAGAAAAGTATGAAGTATGGAGTTTTACCTCCATATCTCCTATAGGTCTTCATTACAATTGTACATGCACCTTCATATCAGTCATCATGAAATGAAACAGGATAAACACGTCCTATTTTGACAAGATTATTATATTTGATAACACAAGAACATAAGATGTGAAACTCACCAGTCTCAGGGTCACAGATATCTGCATGTCCATTACAGTTGCAAGGTACACAAGGCGCAAATGGACCTCCGTTTGCCGGTTCGTGACGGAACGCTGGTGCGCAAGATTCGCAAAATTGCCCCACATATCCATCTGGACATGTACACATTTCAATCCAATTCGCCGGTCGTCCGGCAGCTCCTCCACGGGCTGATCGAAGTACAACATCATCCAGAAATCCAACCCCTTAGCAGAACAGAAAGAGAACTTGCAATGAAAACTGGGATTCATGTGTCCTGGCTCATGACAATGTGTAGTTTCATACTGGTTACCAACATCTTAGAGACACATGTTTCCTCTACCTTAAGAATGAGGCAGCGCGTGTCTCTCAACTGCCTATGAAACCACAGTGTCATAACCCAGGAGACAACAGTCTTAAGAAAACAGAGCACTAAATACTATATTTAATATATTTCAAATATATGTCACTGCACTCACACAGGCTTCATTAAAAAATGAGGAAATTTGTTCCTGTCTATGACAGTTCCTTCCAGGCGACGGTCAAAACAGACCAAATCCATGTATATATAACATCACGATTTTTCGGAATGTGACTATAGACAGGTTTTGGATTGATGACCAGATTTATTGGACACTTTGATAGAGTGCATGACAACACCTTATAGTTAGCTATTACACACACACTAGGGCTCACAGTCTTGTCTTCACTGCCGTTGCTTGGTAGCGGCTTCCAATGGCAGACGTCCCCCTTCCTCTGGGTTCCCAAACTGTGACAGCCTTAGCTACCAGCTTCTCACAGCAACAGGTCACAACATCTGAACCCCAGCAGTATGCTAACTCACTGATTCCATAACTAATTGTAACAGCTAACTGGCCCTACTTATTACATCTCAGCACGAACTGTGCAGAAAACACCATTACCATTATTGCTGTATTCTCTTGCTGTCATGGAGCCATGCTTGTTTGTGGAACTGTCACTTGGCAACGGTTGTTGTACAGTTCCTTCTTCCACAGTCATTGCCTAGCAACGGGTCTACATGTCACATTAATTAGTATGAGCAGGCAAGAGTTTGTCGTAAAATTTGTCAGTTCTTCATCATATCACTTTCATGGAAATCAAATGCAAAATTAAGCTCAGTTAATTATGAACTGAACCAGAAATGACAACACTGAACACCTGTGTTCAGGCAGGCAGCATTGTATTGTTAACCTCTAGTTTATTAGTATTATGCTTGTATCAAGCTGCCTTTCTAGAAATTTTCTCAAAATTGTAGCACACACATACATCCAAATCACCGTTTCAGAGTGTCCCCAAGGGCTGCAGTATGTAAGAGCAGACCAAGGGAAGGGTTATCTGTGGACACCACACCTAAAGATGTGAACTGTCAAATTTCCCTGATGGATATTAAACAAGTATTACATTAATCTCATACAGCACACCATACTAAGAGAAACCCCAACATCTGAAGTCATTAATTAGTTCTGTGAAGCGTATATTACACACTAATAATAAACTTATTAAATTTAATATATCAACTTGCCTTCAGGTGTATATGTGGCTCTTATGTGAATTGCTGTCAGGTTAGCCAGCACGCTCATGAAGTCACGAGCTGACAGCCGAGGCTGCCAGCCGTACTGAGGGTGCTCATGGAGTCGGAACTTGTACTCTTGGGTCTAAGAAAATTTAATAATATGATTAGAAATTCAGAGGCACTAAAGACTGTATTACTGAGATACAAATCCCTGGCACAACACAAGTTCAGACCACCGACACTGGTTCACTTACAAAACTTCTACATGTATATACATCTTTTTTAAATATACTTTACGCCCAACTGCATGTAACTGTCACGCGTGCTGCAGCTGAACAACAAATGGGTTGATTATAGCTTTATAAGCATTTGGAACATATATATAATATAGCGATCTGTTTATTACAACTATTACACTACATTCTTTGGTCTGGAGACGGCACCAGATGTATTTAAATAAATAATTACAAATGTCATACAATAATTTTAAGAGTCTGTAGAAATACAAGTAAAGAAATTACTGTCAAATATAAAATACATATAGCAGAATGAAATCATGGATTTTCTGTTTTAAAACTCAGCTAATCATTGAACTGCTGGTGGCGATTCGGTTTGTAATCCTGATTTTCGTTCAGATTTCGAATGCTGTGAAACTTAGTCTTTCACCCCAAGAGAAGAAATATGAGAGGGGGTGTTTGGGAACACTGTGCTGAGGATAACATCTGGTCCCATGAGCGATGATGTAATAGGAGGCAGAAGAAAATGTCATAATGAGAAAATTCATAACTTGTACTCTTCATCAAACACTACTAGAAAGATAAAATTAGGAAGGATGAGATGGGCAGGGAATGCAGCATATTGGGCTTAAGAAAAATGTATCGAAAATTATAGCCAAATAATTCCTATGTGGAGGTGGGTTTAAAAGCCTCCGCCATATCCCTGTGAGCCACAGAAGGTGATGAAAAGGGATCTTGGTGCCTGGTGCTATAACAAGGCCACCCTGTTCCTGGGGCATTTGAATAGACGGACCTGGCACTCCAGGTTGCGGGCTGAACACAAGGCTGATGACCTTGTTCTGTACAAAAAATTATTGTTGCGAAATCCAAAGAAGTGAAAACCAAATGGTCTAATTCATGATAACCTGGCAAATTATACAAGGTGGTTCAAATATGACCGGGACTGATTTTTTTGTAAACAAGCCGCACTTTGCAGCAGCTGTGCAACCTTGCAAGAGTGAAGCCACAACCTCCACCCTCCCTCCTGTTAGAGTTAGAACCTGTTCAGTCCTGTCTGGAAGTTGCTAGAGTGATGAGAGAACACAAGCTACTGCGGAGCATGGAACAACGCATTGTGATCAAATTCCTCGTTGGAGAAAACGTCCAGTCCACTGAAATTCACCACAGACTCCAACAGCAGTATGGGGAAGAGTGTCTCTCACGGACCCGTGTGTTTGAGTGGTGTAAGTGCTTCAGAGAGGGCAGAGAGCACGTGGAGAAAGAACCGCATGGTCGTTGGCCGTGAACATCCATCGCCGAGCCAAACATTGATCGCGCAGATGTGCTTATTCGTGAGAATAGTCGCATCTCTATCAAGGAACTTGGAGTAAGATCCGATCCAAGCGGAAGACAGGTGGAAAGCGGGTAGCCTTCCTTCAAGACAATGCACGCCCCCATACAGCCAAAACAACAGTGAAAACCCTTCGGAAATTGAAATGGAACCCTGACACATCCGCCGTATGGTCCCGATTTGGCCCCAAGTGATTTCTACCTGTTCGGAAGGCTCAAATCAGACTTGAAAGGCATGTGGTTTGTGGACAATGACACCGTCATCCAGACTGTTCGGGAGTGGATACGCCGCCAACCACAAGTCTTTTTTTGGGGGGGGGGCATCAGGATGCTTCCAGAAAGTTGGAAAAAATGTGTTGACTCCAGAGGGGAGTACGTTGAAGACTGACATGTGCAAGTAAGTGTTTGGCAATTACGTTTTTTTTTTTTTTTAAATCAGTCCCCGTCATATTTGAACCACCTAGTAGCCACTAATACACAAATTTGACAGAATCGTCTATGGAAGACTATGGCTCATAAAGGCATACTATGATGACAGAGTTTCTCGAGACGTTGTTTTCTAGTTTTTAGAATACTGGATGACAGACAAAGTCCAAAAAACCCAGTAATTCTGAGTGTGATACACCATCATCAGAACCCTTAAGAGTCTACAATATGTGACGTGTTCTCTTGGATGCTAAACTGAAACTTTTCTGTATGACTCAGATAAGCTGCAGCACTCAAAGATCTACTCTATTCTGGCTTACAGCTATCGATGGAAGAGGATTCTGTTGTGCAAATATAGCCTGTGTAATGGAGAGGCCCGCCCCTTCCAGCACGATGTCCTCTACAGTGGGTGATGGCCCATTTTCACCAATCCTGAGCTTGAACGTCAGGTCTTGATTGTAACTGGCTCGTTGGTCCCCCAAGAATCTGTCTGGAAATAATCAGCATTTTGTACCGAGATATTCCAACTAAAATATAAACAAATTTGAATATATTTCCTGTTCTACGCTAAAGCTTTTGGCCAGCAACTTTTGAATTTACCCATTATGAATGAATATCTTAACAATCCTTGCATTCAAAATACCTATGAGTACATTATTTTTAAAACTATGCTGAACTAAAATGCAATATATGTGATCGTAACAGCGAAAGGTTAGAGAACTGGCGCTGGTTGCCATGCTTGTTACCTGGTGCCACAAAATACACAGGCTCCCTGCCTGGAGCACTGGCCCCAATTGCCTGTGTTATGCCGTTGTACTGGATGCTCAGTGCTCGGCCACTGTAGTCCTGAGCGGACCAGCGTTCGTTGCCTCGCGCAAATATACTTTCGATCCCAACTTTGGAGTAGCCTGGCGCAGAGCGGCATACCGAGGCATGACCGTAGCAGAAGCAAGGTGTGCACCCAAATTCATTCTCAAAATCCAGATTGAAATAGCCAGGCTTGCAACTGCAACAAATTAAACAACTTTAAGATCTTCCAATGTCCGTCGACTTTCAGACAGTTCCTACTGTGTGAGAAAGTAAGTTCTCATGGCGGTCGCTAAGACTGGTATGTGATGCCATGTTGTCCGGTAGATAGGAACCAGGTGCCTCCATCTTCAGACTAGAAAAGCGTGTCAAGCATGGAAAAAGAAATGGTACACTCATACCAAAACAGGAGGACCAAGGCTGGCACTCTTAGAAAACCAACAGGAAAAAGGAGAACATTGTAAAGAATATCTGCCTTTCAAAGGGAGTTCTGAAATTGTGAAACGCCATCTTTCACAAATCTTTTGGTCAACGTTTTGAATAAGATCTTGGTTCAGTAAAGATGGGCAGCTACTTCACTGTTCATCGTGAACAAAGGGCCGCGCTATAGCTCAAGCAGTTAGTCGTTGGCTTCCTACTGCGGCGGCCCGGGTATGGTCAAGTGGGATTTGTGGTGGACAAAGTGGCGTTGGGGCATGTTTTCTCCCAGTACTTCGGTCTCCCCTGCCAATCTTCATTTCACCAATTGCTCCACAATCACCCTCACCTACCATCTGGGGCTGGTGCACTAGGCCAGAAGTGGCCTCAGTACAAGGGACTTAGTTCCACCCCACTAGCAATAAAAAAAAAGTACTTCCAAATATAGAGCCTACACGAACTTACTGAGCTAGTCACTAGGGGACAGTATCCGTGCATGAACTCACCCCCCGCATCTCTTCCCTTCAACATTCTCCTTGCACTGACATGTACCAGAATACGGGTCACACCGGGGCTGGTTGCCGAGACTGCCTGCTGAGTTACACCCACATGGCTTACATCCCTGGTTGCCAAAATCATAATAGTTCTCTTCACAGCGATCACACTTCTCCCCAGTCACTCCCGGTTTACACTGACACCGCCCCTCACTGTTACACTGCAGGCTCCTGGATCCTAGAACAGCAAACTTTGCACTTACCAGTCTACACATGAAGCCTGAACCACTGTATCAACACCATAACACATTCTGTGATGTCACGCCATGCAGTCTGGTAGACCCTGCTGCCTCCATCTTCAGGGTAGAGGCAGCAGGTTTCTCCAGTACCTACCAGACTACAGAGCATGACATCACAGAAAGCAGTATTTTTCAACAAAATGTCTTTCCATATGTCCCTGAGATAGGGACATTCCGGTCATAAAATGTTCATGCTATTAGAAACTATAAACCATGATAATAAAATTCATAATAAGGACCATAAATTCACTCTTACACAAAGTTTGAACATATATTAACATTATTTTTCTCCAGGATGTAAAACAAAACAAAACAAATTCAGCAAGAGCTAATTCCTTCATTAAATGATTGAGATAGCATTCATGCATCAGTGACAGTGGAAGGAATATCTCATTTAGATGTCTGCAAAGAGGCCATCGAGTTCAGTGCGTACTGCACCCACTGTTACTTCTGACAGGTAAAGGGTTTCTTTTGAAGAGCTCTACTTTCTGGGTTATAACGTCATGTAGTCCACCGAAAGTCAATTAAAGTTTCGGAGAAATATGTTGCCTTCATCTTCAGGGTCGAAGAATAAACCATGTAAGAAACTAGCATGAAGCTGGCTGCAAGCAGAGCTGAAGATGGTGGCAACATGTTTCTCCAAAACGTCTGCCGGCTTTCAAAGGACTAAATAGTGTTATATCCCAGAAGGCACAAGTCACAAATAAGAATATATATATATATATAGGATGTCCCAGGAGGAATGTGCCAAACTTCAGGAGGGTGTTTCTTATGTTAAAGTATGCCGATATAACCCAAAACACCTATGTCCAAAGTTGAACAGTTACAGAGATAATGGCCTGAGAAAAGTGTTCCACGCACTGTACCTCTCAGCTGGCATGTCTTATCTACGTTTGTCCTTGAGTGTGGTGATTCACACTAGCCGTAAGCTCCCTTCAGTATACGTTGCAGACACGTTTTGAACGGGTGGTAGGTTAATTGTGCAGAGTTGCTGAAATGCCTTTTGTGTTTTCGAACGTGGAATATTGTGATATGCATTTTGTGTGTGGGTTTTGCGGTGGCAATGCACATGCTGCTGTTGAAGAATACCAAAGGCGTTTTCCCGATCGAAGGATTACATGTCGAAGTGTATTTACGCGAATTCACCAGACATTGCGTGATACTGGTTCTCTTCCGAGTGTTTCTGTGCACTCTGAAAGGGAGGATGATACGAATGATAAACACACGAGAGAACGTTCTTCAGATGGTTCAGAGAAGTCCGCATCTGTCCACTCGTAGAATGGCCTCTCGCATCGGCGTATCACGTATGCAGGTGTGGCGAACTTTACATGATGAAGAGT